GTATATCCTGCTTGGCCCAGCCACTGGTTGAGATGGAGGTTTGTAAACTTCTTTGAGCCTGGGCTGGCACTGCACCACAATTTCCAGATCTTTGCTTCTCAAATAAGTAGGGTTACAAATCTAGGCTGGTGCACTTGGCTCATTGAGATGGCCTTTATTGCGAAGTGTCTCTTGTGCTTACTTTTTTTTTTTTTGGGTCCGGTTGTGGGGCCTGAACTCTGGGCCTGGGCGCTGTCCCTCAGCTCTTCAGCTCAAGGCTAGCACTCTACCACTTGAGCCACAGCGCCACTTCCAGCTTTTTTTTCTTTTTGCTTATGTGGTGCTGAGGAATCGAACCCAGGGCCTCATGCATGCAAAGCAAGCGCTCTACCACTGAGCCACCTTCCCAGCCTGAAGTTTGTAATTTTAATCCACTCCAATTTATCAATAGTTTTTTTTGTTTTGTTTTTGCTTTTTTTGGTCGGCTGTGGGGATTGAACTCTGGGCTGGGCACTGTGTCTCTCAGCTCTTCAGCTCAAGGCTAGTACTCTACCACTTGAGCCACAGCACCACTTCTGGCTTTTTCTGTTGTGTGGTGCTGAGGAATGAAACCCAGGGCCTCACGCATGCAAGGCAAGCACTCTACAACTGAGCCACCTTTCCAGCCCCAATAGTTTTCTTTGTGATGGATAGTTTTATGTGTTAGTTAAGAAATATTTGCCTAAAAAAAAAAAGAAATATTTGCCTAACTGAAGGTCATATAACTCTTTTCCTATTTTATGTTCTATAAATTTAGTTGTTATTTCATTTTCACATTTAGATCATTTAGAATTGATAATTATATATGGCACAAGTTGAAGCCATATATTTTTTGCAGAGATTCATCAAGATGACAAAGATAAAAAGCAAACAAAGAAGAGTCTCAAATTATAAGTCAAAAAAGTATGGAGGAATCATATTACTATTTATTTAAAAAACCAAGCTACTTTATTTTTAGAACAGTTTAAGCTCTGTAAAATAATGGATCAGAAAATATAGAATTCTCAAATATCCCCTCTCCAGTTGTTTCCTCTATTCTTTACATCTTAATGTTAAATATTTGTTACAAAGGATAAACCAATATTTATTATTAACTAAAATACACAATTTCCATTAGGGTTCATTCTTGGTGTTGTCCAGTTGTAGGCATCTTGATAACTGTATTTTGATATAGCATTGGCCCTTTCTTTACCTTCTCGGTGAAGTATACAGTTATGGGACTAGTTTTCAACAGTTATTACTCTCAAAACTGAGAAGTAGCAGTAATAGGTATAATATTAAATAGAATCCTTAACTGGGGAATTTTCTAAATTGGTTAAAATGTATGTGGCAAAGAAAGTAAAGTGTGTTGAGTTAGGATACAAAATAGGTGAGTGATTTTAGGTCATGGATGGCTTTTCTCTTCTCTTCCTTCTTCTCTGCTCTCCTCTACTCTCATCTCCTCTCTCCTTGTCTTTCCTCTCCCCTCTCTCCCTTCCCTCTCCTCCCTGAGAAAGAAAGACTTGAACTTACAATCCTCCTTCCCCTCAATTCCTGAATGTGTTGCAGGCATGTGCACTGTGCTTGGTCTATGGATTTATGTCTCTGACATTGATGAATCTGTCCTTTTCACCGAGGACAGGCAGATGACTGTGACATATATGACAAAATATTACTGGCACTGTTTTCACAGTCCGTGCCAAAAAGCAATCAGTAAGTTAAGGGTTGCATGAAATTCATGGGAAACTATTTGTCATGGCTAAAAGCATGGAGAGAACCCAGTAGGCACTAATCTGCCAAGCAAGTGAAAATAACCATTCCATATCGGCTACTAGCCCAAATGTTATTTTTGTTCTTAGCAGAGATTGCCATGAAAGCCACTGGACAACAGCCTTTTCATCCAAATGCATAAAAGTCCTAGGACTATTTCAGATCATTAGCCAGTTTGGGCTCAGAGTTTATATTCTCAGTGTTTTAACTGATAGAACAATTCACTGCTTCAGTAATTTGCCATGAATCCCATATTAGTTTTTTGTTTTGTTTTTGTGATTACCTGAATTTTATCATGTGTGTAACTGAATTCATAAGAATTTCTGGAGTTAAAAGCCAGGTTCCAGTGGCTCACACCTATAATCCTAGCTACTTAGGAAGCTGAGATATAAGGATCACTGTTTGAAGTCAGCCCCAGCAGGAAAGTCTCTTATCTTCAATTAACCACCAAAATCTGGAGCTGTGACTTAAGTGACACAAAAGCCAGGCCCTGAGTTCAAGCCCTAGGACTAGTACATAAATATATACACACACACACACACACACACACATACACACACACACACAGAAATTCTAAAGTTGAGTGTGGTTGATTGACACTTACAATTCAAGTATTTGTTATATTAAGGCAAGGCTGAGGGATCATAAGAAGCTAGTCTGGCTATATAACAAGTCTCTGTAATAAAAAAAAAAGTGGGGGGAATATGAATGGCAACTTTTAAAGATAATGAAAATATCCAGAAAAAGAAAAAAACAAAAACTACACATTCTTTCCCCAGTCTCTTTTTCTTTCTTCCTTTTTTCATTTGGTGTGTCTTAATTGTAACTAGCAAAAGGTTTCATTGTGACATTCCCATACATGCATACACAATCCTGGGTCCTATTCATCCACTGTGGCTCTTATCCCCTCTCCTCCCTCCTTTCCCCCTCCCGTCAACCCCTAGTAGTCCCCTATTCTATCCACGTTACTTAGTCTTTGTTGTCTGATTCTTGTCTTTGTGAAACTGGCTTATTTCATTTAACATAATGGTCTCAATTATATGTTTTTCTTTTTCACTTTTTTCTTCCCCCTTTTTTTTTGTCAGTCATGGGGCTTGAATTCAGGGCCTGGGAGCTATCTCTGAGCTTTTTGGCTTAAGGCTAGTGCTTTTAACACTTTGAACTACAGCTCCACTTCCTGTTTGGGGGTGGCTAATTGGAAATGAGAGCCTCATGGATTTCTTCCCTGGCTGGCTTTGAACTGCGATTACAGCTGTGAGACAACAGCACCAACTCCATCAGCTACTCTACAAATGCATAATCTGATTCTTCTCAATGATTGAGTAAAACACCACCGTGTATATGTACTACATTTCCTTTCATCTATTCACACTATGATAGGCAGCTAGCCTAACATTCTGTATTCCATAATATCATTCCTATTCCATAATCTGACTATTATAAATAGTGCTGTGATAAAAATTGGCATACCAATATTCCTTTAGGAAACTATACATAGAAAGAAATGTACTTCATATATATATATATATATATATATATATATATATATGTGGCTGGATCATATTAGAGTTCTCTTTTTCAATTTTGAGCACCCTCCATACTGAATTCCATAAGTCCTTGACTAGTTTATATATATATATATATATGTATCAGCAGATAGTACGAATTTTCATTTGTCCCATATCCATACCAGCATTTGTTGTCATCTGTTTTCTTGATGATACCAATTATGATGGGGTGAGGTGGAATGCCCCTCTAAAACTATCTCCTAATAATATCTGAATAGAAGTTATATAGTTATGTTGTCACAGGAGCAGAACTTTTAATATAAACTAGGAGGAAATAAATATCCAAGCGGTCTAAGGGCCATCTCACATCATGACTGATTTCTTCATTCAGTTGTAGCATCTAATTTGGAAGTCTAGAGATAATCTTACTGCAGGCCCAAATAGGGAGTCAACTCGATAGAAAGGTTGAAATACAACCTGGTTCAACAATAGCAGTAGTTAGAGAAGATAATGACGCCATCATTACAGCAGGTTCTGTGGGTCACATATTTGACTAACACTACTCTTAATTTATTTTTCTTTTTGTCAGTTGTGGGGCTTGAACTCTGGGCCTGGGCACTCCCCCTCAGCTGTTCAGCTCAAGGCAAGCGCTCTACCTTTTCTGGTGGTTCACTAGAGATAAGAGTCTCATGAACTTGCCTCCCGAGCTGGCTTTGAACCTCCACCTCTGATCTCAGCCTCCTGAGTAGCTAGGATTACAGGTGTGACCAACCAGTGCCTGGCTCTTTTTTTACTTTTAACCCTGGGACAAAAGGCTGAGATGAGTTATTATTTCCTTCATTTTAAAGACTAGAATTAGGTATGGAGAGGGTATCTTGCTCTACTTAGCTTGATACTTTTCCATAAGTAGTACAACCTGAAATCATGCCTTAGTCTGATTTTTGGCTTTCAGCTAAGAACCTAACAGTGTCCATCAGTCAATCCATTGGTCCATTGGTCCATCCATTCATCCACCCCCTCACTATACACTGTGGAATACCATGTGCTAGGTCCTGTACTGAATATTAGGATTTAAGCATGAAAGAGTTTTGACCCTCAAGAAAATGATAATCCACTGGAAGAGTCAGATAAGCATTTTTTAGGAAAATCTATAATTAAAGTTAAGTGATGTTTTATTCCTCTTGAGAGGAGAGTTAAGAAAATAAAAAGCTAGGCAATAAAAAGTACATTAAAGTTAGAATAAATTAAACATGCCAATACCAGAAGACTGACAGAGCAGGGTAAAGTTTGGGAAATAGATGAATCTTGAGAAAGGCAGAGTCTAGACTGAAGGCCAGCTAGTTTGCATTTTAAAGAAACTACACCATGAATGTTTTGTTATATTCATTAGTAGTATTCATTGACTAGATCAGTAGTATCTTATTGCACAGCTATAATGATTGCAGGGAGTTGGAAATATGAAAAATAGAAAGAAAACTACATGAAAATCCTCTTCATTCCTCTAGATTTACCTGCCTTAGCTCTCCTTTTAGAAGATAATAAAAGGGACCTTCAAATAAAATCTACTTATCCGGCACTCAATTTTTAATCATTTGTTCTATTTCTAGAAAATTGCTAGTACTAATGAAATATTAATGGCTGTTTTCACCATTATTTAGTTTGTTTTAAAATAGGACATTGAGTTACTTTGAAAGAGAAACTCAGTAGTTGTATGATTGACTTTAGATCTAGAGGGTGGCCAGAAGCAAGCCATGGTGAGTGACCGAACGGAAGCCTTCACCACTGCACGGAACTTGCTTGCCTCAGGAGCTGATGCAATTGAGAGGATTATGTCTTCCTACAAAGAGGTATTTGGCATTTCTTGTCAATCTGATTAAAGTCAGATCAAGTGGGCTAGGAATGGCTTAGTGATGGTGTTTGCCTAGCATGCATGAAACCCTGGGGTTCAATTCCTCAGTACCACATAAATAGAAGTGGTGCCGGAAGTGGCGCTGTGGCTCAAGTGGTAGACTGCCAGCCTTGAGCAAAAAGAAGCTCAGGAACAGTGCCCAGGCCCTGAGTTCAAGCCCCAGGACTGGAAAAAATAAATAAATAAAATCAAGCAAAATGTAAATTAACAAGTACACATAGTGTTTCAGGAATACCTTTTCTATATGCTAGCTTTTAGGAGTATGGTCAAGGTTTAAAGCAGCACCTCTCAAGTTCATGTCTGCTTGGTACACTATTTGATTCTTCCCTTTTTTGTCAGTAGAATTATTTGTTTTTAAATTGTAAAAAAAAAAATCCCTTAGCTATGGACTCTGGAATCAGTGTCTATATTTACATTCTTGCTTCTGTATTTACCAATTAAGTGAGCTTGGTTAAGTTCCCTAAACCCTCTGTACTTTTGTTTACTCACTTGTAAAAAAAAAAAAGGGGATGATGATGGTACTGATTAAGGGCTGTTGCTAGTTAATGAATGTAGAGTACTGAGGACAATTCATTTTCTTACAGGGGATTGACCCCAGGGCCTTTGCACAGACTAGACAAGCCCTCTACCACTGAGCCAGATTCTACAGCCCCTGATGCAATACATTTGAAGCATTCAACATGTCAGCTAGTAATAGTACTTCTGTATCTTGCAAGCTTTAGCCATCCTTCATCGATGAAATCTTGCACTGTTTTTTTTTTTTTTTTTCTGAACTCTGGGCTTGGGCACTGTCCCTAAGCTCTTCAGCTCAAGGCTAACACTCTACCACTTGAGCCACAGCGCCACTTCCAGCTTTTTCTGCTTATGTGGTGCTGAGGAATCGAACCCAGGGCTTCATGCATACTTCAAGGCAAGCACTCTACCACTGAGCCACCTTCCCAGCCCCGAAAAAGATTTCCGGGGTAAGGCCTTCTTTCATTCCTCTAACCTCCCCTTGCCTCTCCTGCAGTTTGGATCTTCCTTGGCCATCTTTATCTGTGTCCAACTGACATTGCACCACCTTCTATTGTTCTGACTCTTGCATCAGACCTTAAGTTCCTTTGCAACAAGGGTTGTCTAATCACCTTTGTATTCTTAATACTCATTTTAATGCTTTGTACAATATGTATGTGGCTACTGAAGAATGGTAACAGATCTACATCCCTTAGGGTTAAGATTAAAATCACTTTATTCAACTCAGAGATGCCTATCAACAGTCTTTCTCTCTATTAATTACTCTTGAGGTTTGCACATCAATATAAAGTGCTAGAGCCTTATTATAGATTTAGCTTCTAAGCTAACCTTGAGTTTACTAGATAATGAAGTTTTAAACTTTGTTCTTTGCTTTCACAACTGAGTTACTGAAAGTCATAATTTTTTAATTATTTTGCTAGTCCAATTAATCACCAAAAAGCCAGAAGTGGAGCTGTGGCTCAAGTGATAGAGCATTCTTTGAGCAGTAAAGCTTAGGGACACTGCATCCAGGCCCTGAGTTCAAGCTGGATTCCTTTTGTAGTCAGTTTCTGGGACAAGTCCTTTGTCTTATATCTATATCCTGGAGTAATTTGTCCACAAACACATTCTGCAGGTTTTTATAGTCACACCCTGCCCATACCACTCTCTGTCCATACCTTATCTATACCATAACTATGCTACCTACTCATTGCTTCTTACCTTTTTTATTGCATTTGGATTTTGGACATATATTTTTTTCTTATTCAGATATTTGTATTTGCCCATGTTTCCTTTGAATAGCTTTGTTTTCCTGTAACTGCAAACTTTTTTCCAGATAATGTTTCAGAAATTATTCTTTAGCCATTAACATAAGCAGACAGAAATGCAATGGCAGTGCTATTATTTTCATTCAGTAGACAGCTTTTTTTTCCCCCCTTGTTGATCATGGGGCTTAAACTGGACACTGTCCCTGCACTCTTTTGTTCAGTTAGTGCTCTACCACTTTGAGCCACAGCGCCACTTCTGGTTTTCTGGTGGGTAATTGGAGATAAGAGTCTTATGGACTTTCCTGTATAGGCTGACTTTGAACCTTGATCCCTAGATCTCAGCCTCCTAAGTAGCTAGGATTACAGGTGTGAGCCACTGGCACCTGGCTAGATAACTTTTAAACAATAACATCTACCTACTCAAATTACAGCCTAAGTTTTGCATATGAAAATACTTATACAAATGTTACCATTGTTGTATTAGTTTGTTAGTGCTTAGAAAACATTTATTAGGGCTGCCTTGCTTTCACAATTTTTGTTTTTAGGTCCGGTCGTGGGGCCTGAACTCTGGGCCTGGGCGCTGTCCCTCAGCTCTTCAGCTCAAGGCTAGTGCTCTACCACTTGAGCCACAGCGCCACTTCTGGTTTTCTGGTGGGTAATTGGAGATAAGAGTCTTATGGACTTTCCTGTATAGGCTGACTTTGAACCTTGATCCCTAGATCTCAGCCTCCTAAGTAGCTAGGATTACAGGTGTGAGCCACTGGCACCTGGCTAGATAACTTTTAAACAATAACATCTACCTACTCAAATTACAGCCTAAGTTTTGCATATGAAAATACTTATACAAATGTTACCATTGTTGTATTAGTTTGTTAGTGCTTAGAAAACATTTATTAGGGCTGCCTTGCTTTCACAATTTTTGTTTTAAGGCCCGGCCGGGGGCCTGAACTCTGGGCCTGGGCGCTGTCCCTCAGCTCTTCAGCTCAAGGCTAGTGCTGTACCACTTGAGCCACAGCGCCACTTCTGGCTTTTTTCTTTTTGCTTATGTGGTGCTGAGGAATCAAACCCAGGGCCTCAGGCATGCAAGGCAAGTGCTCTACCACTGGGCCACATTCCCAGCCCTTTAACTTTCCTTTGAGGGGTACAAATGATAAAGGTAAGACAGGAGTCACTTTTCACAATACCTGATAACAAGGTGGTCTCTCAGTAGAAAAATGAAAGGAAGTTAACAGAAATTGAACAGCAAGCATAATAGGGGCAAGGCATCTTCCTTGAACCTTCTGTACTAAAGCAAAGATGTATTTCATTTTATCCACTACCACCTAGAAAAATTCATATATTTATGCTTTTTCTTGGCAATTTAAATCTCATTTGCTTGAAAAGAACCTGGGTTTTGGGTTTGGAAAAGGATTTAGACTTTTTTACTGAGCTGGCTTTCAAAATTGATACCCTCTAGCACAGATATTTCCCTAGCTGAACAGGAATTTTAACAAACAGTTTGGCTAAGAGACACTCATTTCATAATAAGAAGAAAAATATTTTTCTACTATTTGAAATCAGAAGTGTGGCAAAAAGATCCTTAAGACTCATTTCTCATTTTGAAACTTGACTCAAATTAACATTTATTATGTGTTTAAAAGTTCAGTTGCAGGGGCTGGGAAGGTGGCTCAGTGGTAGAGTGCTTGCCTTGCATGCATAAGGCCCTGGGTTCAATTCCTTAGCACCACATAAGCAGAAAAAGCCGGAAGTGGCGCTGTGGCTCAAGTGGTAGAGCGCTAGCCTTGAGCTGAAGAGCTGAGGGCAGCGCCCAGGCCCAGAGTTCAGGCCCATGACCGACCAAAAAAAAAAACTTCCAGTTCCAGTTGCATAATGCTGAGTACCAATTGCTCATGCCTGTAATCCTAGCTACAGAGGAAGCTGAGGTCTGAGGATCACAGTTCAAAGCCAGTGCTGGCAAGCACCTGTGAAACTCTTACCTTCAATTAACAACCAAAAAGTCAAAAGTAGAGTGGTGGAGTACTACCATTGAGGAAAAAAGTTCAGGAACAGTGTCCAGGCCTTGAGTTCAAGTCCCAGGACTGGTATGGGTACACACACACATACACACACACATTGATATCTAGATTTATTGCTGTGTAAGTTTTTTTGTTCTTTTACTGTCATTAGTTATCAAATGTATTATCTATTCCTCACATATGATAAAATAGCATCTTTAATATGACATCAAGCTAGTCTCTAGTGGCTCATACCTGTAATCCTGGCAACTCAAGAGGCTGAGATCTGAGGATCATGGTTCAAAGTCAGCCCAGGCAGGCAAGTCCATGAGACTCCTGTCTCCAATAAACTACACAGAAAAAGCCAGAAATGGCACTGTGGCTCAAAGTGTTAGAGCACCCACTAACCTTGAGCAAAAGCAGCTCAGACACAGTGCCCAGGCCCCAGAATTGGCAAAAATAAAAATAAAAAATTACATCAAGAAGCTCAAATAATTCCATACTTATTTTATTTTATTTTATTTTATTTTTGGGTCCGGTCGTGGGGCCTGAACTCTGGGCCTGGGCGCTGTCCCTCAGCTCTTCAGCTCAAGGCTAGCGCTCTACCACTTGAGCCACAGCGCCACTTCCGGCTTTTTTCTTTTTTGCTTATGTGGTGCTGAGGAATTGAACCCAGGGCCTCTGGCATGCAAGGCAAGCGCTCTACCACTGAGCCACCTTCCCAGCCCCTCCATACTTATTTTAAAGCCTATCATGGATATAGTAACTTTTCTCTCCTCTTTACTTTTAGGTCACTGAATTAGCAGGTTATACTGCTCGAGTATATAATATGTTTTGGGTGTTTGATGAAGTAAAGAGAGGCATTTATAAAAGAGCTGCTGTCACTCAAGAGCCTGAAACTCAGAGCAAGAATGGAACTAACCTAGAATTACCCCTCAGTGACACACGGGAAATTAAAGGTATCAAATCCATATGCTTTTTATCGTTTTCTTATATTTAAGTATTATTTTATCAACAGAGCTAAAGGGTTTTTGTTTTTTTAGAAGATAGCTTTTACTATTTATAAGGGACCAATATTTAAATAGCAAACATTATATAAGCTGCAATCCCTAAAATTAGTATTGTAAAGTGAAGGGTAGTGACTAGATACCATAAAAAATGTTATTCTACTTTTATTTAGGAAAATATTTCCATAATTTCACTTAGAAACATATTGCTGAATAAATTGTTTGCTCTTAAAATTCAATTACCATATAGAATTAGAGCAAATGTAAAACTGTTTTTTCATTATCTTCTGTTTCTAAATGTGTTTGGTCATTATGTATTAAAACATCTTATCCAATTTCTTGATTCTGTTTTTGGAGATATTTTTTTCCTAAAAAGAAGACTGATAATAGAGAAAATTAGCTGTAAAACATATGGCTGGGTTTTAAAAGATTACATTTAGCTGTGTTATTATAATGATGTTGACATTGGACTATTATAAAATAGTGCTTCTCAGAAAGATTTCATACATAGAGGTATCAAAAATACAAATATCCATTAAACTTTGTTTCACATCCATTTATATTTTCCTGAGTTATTTATATGAATTTTCTATATAATTACATCTACCCATTAGACTATCTTATACTTTGAGTCATTTCATTAGCAGTAAACTGTGATAGCTTTTGTAACGTAAGCTAATCCTTAATTATAGGAAAAGTTATTGATGTGGATCATGGAATTATTTGTGAAAATGTTCCCATAATTACGCCAGCGGGAGAAGTGGTGGCTTCCAGTCTAAACTTCAAAGTAAGATGATATTCACAAACTCTCTGATTTGTTGTTATCACACTAAAACAAAAGAACTCAGAATTCATGTACTTTACGTTACATGCTTGGAGGAGCAAGTGGAAGAAGGGGAAATCAAGAAAGGTATGCACAGTGGCTCAGGTACAGAAGTAGTTACTTCCTAGGAGCAGAGAGAAAAGAAGAATTTCTACTGCTGTATTATCAAGTCAAAAATCAAAAGTACAGTGCACTGAGGGCCTATGCCAGGTAACTTAGGGGAACAATAGGAAATTTCTTCATAAATTAATATGTGGAAATGAATTCTCATTTTTCCTTACGGAAAGTACAAAAATAATACGATTATTGTTCAGGAATCACATTTACTATTAGGAAAAAGAAGCATAAGATTCATAGAATTAAATTTAGCTTTGCTTTTCTTTGGAGAATAACCTTTATGTCTTGATTATGAAAACTAAGCTGAAAATACCACTTGGTTTTTTGCTGGCTACAAAATAAAAAGAGTCTCATAGACTTTTTTTAATTTTAATTTTTGTGAACATACTGTACAGAGGGGTTACAATTACATGGGCAAGATAATGAGTACATTTCTTATCAAGCATTGCAGCCTCCTCCTTTGTTTACCCTTCACATCCCTTCCCAGCCTCCCCCCCTCACCAAAGTTGTAAAGTTCGTTTTTGACGTGACAACTTGTACTTCTCATTGTTGCAGCAGGTCCACCTGTATCCTTAAACGACTTGTCAGGCTGACTTTGAGCTGCTATCCTCAGATCTTGCTTCCTGAGTAGATAGGATTACAGACATGAGCCACTAGTGCCCAATTAGTATTGATATTTGTGGCATAACTTCTCTGGCTTGCTAAACAGTATGAGGTAAAAAGTATTTTTCACTCACTGAATTTTCTTCTGCAAATGGTATTGTTAATTTTGAGGGTAGAAAAGAAATGATGACAATCTTGATAATCTCTTCCTCTAGAAACCTATTTATTTTAAATCAATAAAAAGTAACACAACTTTCTATTATATTTTACATTAAAATATAATTCCTTAAGTTAGAAATCACTAATCCTAAAAGATGTGTGCCTTTTAAAATATCTTGTGAATGCGTGTCTCAGCCTGGTATATATCTTTCACAAGTCACTTGGGAAATATGGAAGCTTGTATACATTTAAACTTTCTTAATCTTGTCTAGTGAAAGAGAAAGCACATTAGTTCTTTCAAGGCTAGTTGCAGGATTTTCTTTGAGGCTAGCAATATGATGCCCTTCATCTTTGAGTTTTTACTATTAAAAAAAATCCACATTACTGATGTTGGGTATTAATATCCATTCACTACAAAGCTACAGCTATAGATATCCTGCAGATTTTTGCCTCTCATGCTTTCATATTGTATTCATTGATTGTCTTATTGACTATAACACATTTGTTCTTAGGGAAAAGCAAATCAACTTTTAAATGATATCCCTTTTTTCTTATTGCTCACCATATCCTTTATTGAACACAAGAATACAACTTCTTCATCCTACCAAATGTAGTGGACATTCATGACATTTAGTCAAACTAAAATTAAAATATGACAAACAAGCCTGGCAACAATGGCTCATGTCTCTAATCCTAGCGATTTAGGAAGCTGAGACCTGAAGGGTAACAGTTCAAAGCCAAGCCCATGCAGAAAAATTCTTGAATCTCTGTCGCCATTCACAACAATATGCTGAACGAGAGGCATCGCTTAGGTGGTAAGAGTGCCACCCATAAGCAAGCAAGCCAAATGAAAGCAGGAAACCTTGGTTCAAAATCAAGTCACAGGGAGCATTAATTAATTAACTAATTAAAATAAAGGAAAGCATCTAAAATACTATTTTATCATTGGATACTGTAAGTATGGAATGTTTATATGTAGAGAATGAATATCATTTATATATATGTATACATGTATGCATGTGTATATGTATGTGCACACAGTCTCTTGAAGGAATCAGTTTCAAGACACCTTGTGGTTATCAAAATTTGCTGACACACAAGTCCTTCATATAAAATGGTACACAGAAAAACATGTCTATGACTATGGACTTTTTGTGATGGATGAAATACAAACTTGGGTAATTTAGTTAGCTCTTCAGATAACTTTGCTTTACAGAGTAATAGATGAGTTTCAGTTGTATTTGAATTCAATGTAAGTTTAATCAACTATTAATAGAAATTTAATGAAATTTAATATAAATTTTATGATTGGTCTTATTTTCCCATGTGGTTGTAATTGCCTTACGTGTGTGGAAGATCTGATAACAAAATTTCAATTAAGACATTTGAAGCCAGGCAATGGTGGCTCATGCCTGTAATCCTAGCTACTTGGTAGGCTGAGATCTAAGGATCAGAGTTTAACACCATCTTGGGCAGAAAAATGTGTGAGACTTTTATCTTTCATTAACCAGCAAAAGCTAGAAGTGGAGCAGTGGCTCAAGTGGTAGAACACCAGCCTTCAGCAAAAAAGGCCAAGTCCCAGTATTGGCATATCAACAACAACAAAAAACATTGAAAAGCCAGTATTTATTTCAAGAAATTCATCTTCTTTGCAATTCATTTTAGACATTAGTTAAAGCCACACTGGAGATTCTCAACCCTAAACCATTTTTCTTTGATTTCTTGCCCATGGGAGGTCACCCATGTGATTGAATGTTCTCAAAAGTTAAAAAAAAAACACTTTTAAATGATGCCAAGTGAAGTAATTTTACATTTTGTAGTTAGTTTGTAATTTGATTTCTCACTTTAGGTACAAGAAGGAATGCATCTTTTGATAACTGGTCCCAATGGCTGTGGGAAAAGTTCCCTCTTCCGAATTTTAAGTGGGCTCTGGCCTGTGTATGAAGGGACGCTCTACAAACCACCTCCTCAGCACATGTTCTATATCCCACAAAGGTAGGTCATTTTCAGTACTCTTGAATTATCTTCATTCCTCATACTCTTCAATGGACAATCGCATGGATATTTTCGCTGAGATAGTGATTAAGGAAATAAAAATTCAATGAATCCCCAAATCTTTTGTTACTGATTTGATTAAAATAGTTTCTGGCACAATAGTATTATTTTTCATTCTCACAGCTGATGAGATATAACATATATCCAAAGACTACATACAGATGTTTGCCTGAAGGCATAGCAAACTATTCCAAAGGATAGACTGTCTTAGATGGGAGAGTCTCACAGAAAACCCGAGTACTTGGATAGTTCACATACCTCCCCATTAGGCTGGCAACATTCTTCCACTCTATAAGTTGTCCGTTTATGTTTAAGAGTTCCTGGAAAAAGTCTTGATTATGATTATGTTTCATGAGTAACAATTTTAAGTATCTTAATTAAAATATGCTTAAAAATGAAAATGTTAGCATAGGCAAAGGACATTATTTCTCCTCAAGTGTTCAGTTCATAATGCTTTAGAAGTGACACTACACAATGTAACAGTCTGGCATATTTTCTTTTGATAAAATGAAATCAGGCTTGAACAAGAAACATTCCTTCTACATCTCTGGACCTGTAATTTTTCCATGTTTTATTACTAAGGGTTAAATAGCCTGGAATGATAAAACCAAATGAGATGGCAAGGCCCTGAGTTTAGTCCCAATACTGGGACACACACAGACACACAGACACACAAACACACAAACACAGAGTTCAAGTTTCAAGAATTGTAGTAAGTAGAATACTCTTAATTTTGTACTCATGTTGTAGGACGTAGAATCATGAGGAAATTGTTCTACTAAAAATATCTATTCTCGGGCTGGGAAGGTGGCTCAGTGGTAGAGCGCTTGCCTTGCATGTATGAGGCCCTGGGTTTGATTCCTCAGCACCACATAAATAAAAAGAAAAAAAGCCGGAAGTGGCGCTGTGGCTCAAGTGATAGAGCGCTAGCCTTGAGCTGAAGAGCTGAGGGACAGCGCCCAGGCCCAGAGTTCAGGCCCCATGACCGGACCACAAAATAAAATAAAAATAAAAATATCTATTCTCAGTGTAAATCAAAGTATATAATAAATTTAACATCTTAGTCCTTATAGATGGTTTATTAGTTTGAAAGAAACAGTTCTTGAATAGACCTTCTGAACTGAATGACTTAAGACATTTTCAAGCAATGAATAAATTTGTAAAAGTGCACAAATTCATGTTTGCCCAAAGGGAGGCCTGTTATTTTGCAACAAACATAAGCCATTTAGTTATGAAACTTATTGTTGCCCAAGCAAAAAGGTCAAATGTAACCTAATTAAGAAGCAAAATAAGAGTAAGATGACTGTTATTTTAAGGCTAAACTGTTTTAAAATAATAACTGTTTATAGTCATTTTTGCTTTGGTTATATAGTTCTTAAAATCATGAAACTTTGCAATTTATGTTTACATTTTCAAATAAGATCTCCTTTAAAAAAAAACCAGTCTAACTTTATCTAAATGCACGTGTAAACTGAGAGTGTCTAAATGTGGTTTCTTTCTTATACTTTATTTTTTTTTTTGTTGGTCGTGGAGCTTGAACTCTGGGCCTGGACGCTCTCCCTGTGCTCTTCAGCTCAAGTCTAGAGCTCTACCACTTGAGCCACAGTGCCCACTTCCGGCTTTTTTCTATGTATGTGGTGCTGAGGAATCTAATCCAGGGCCTCATGCATGCAAGGCAAGCACTCTACCACTGAGCCACCGTCCCAGCCCCCTTTCTTATACATTAAAAGCTGGTATTTTTTCAAGTAAAATTCAAGGTAATTTTATATGATTCTATTATTTAAAAGAAAGTTGGAATACAATTTATTTTGAAATATTTGTCAGGAAATAATCTTAAACTTTTGTTCTTAGGCTATTTTCATTAGTGAATTTTATAATTGAGTTTTACATTACTTTATAGCATTGGAACCTAGATTAATTTCTTCTTTGGCAAGGATAAAAAGAAAGCACAATACACAAGTGAAGCAAATGCAAACTTCACAAGTCAGAAAACAAATCTCACAGTTCACCCTTTATTTAAGTTTTACAAAATACTCCCTGGTAGGTAATGGATGGCACTGATAAAATGTAAAAGTACATGAGTAGCTGGACACTGGTGGCCCATACCTGTAATCCTAGCTACTCAGGTGGCTGAGATCTGAAGATTGAGGTTCAAAGCCATCCCAAGCAGGAAAGTCTGTGAGACTCCGATCTCCAGTTAACCACCAGAAAATCAGAAGTGGTGCTTTGGCTCAAGTGGTAGAGCGCTAGCCTTGAGCTGAAGAGCTGAGGGACAATGCCCAGGCCCAGAGTTCAAGCCCCACAACTGACCAAAAAAAGTACATGAGTAGTTACTTTCATGGAGAAAATAGAGTAGCTTTTATGAGAGTTGACTTCTAATAATTTCTTTTAGCTTGCAGTATACAAAAGGAAAACATTCTTGCTAGACATATGAACCCACTAAACTTTGAACAATTCTTAGTACATGGTAGATATTCAATAAATATTTGCTGAGGGAAAAAATATATTTAAGCTACTTACTTTTTAACCAGCTCTGTGCACACACACACACACACACACACACACACTCACTCACTCACACAAACATACACCTCCACGTGTCTCCTCCCCCCGACCCCTCAGTGATATTGGTGGTTTATATGCTGGGTCACCTCAATTTCTGAGAAATTGTGCAAGCATGTTAATGTTTTCCCTGATGTAGTCTCCTGATACTTTAGCAATGTTAATAATGAGAACCAGAGAAAACAAAACTTGAGGTGTGCTATATGAATTTAGTTTTGAGACAGTCTTCCCTCACCCCATCTTAATTGATGGTGGGATATGATAATTACTGGAATATTCGTACGTTGTAGGAAAAGAAAAACCCATCTCACCTAAAATGTAGATTAGCACTCTATATCACTGGGATGAAAGATGGTAAAATACTAGTTTTGTTCAGATAGTATCTTTGAAAACTATTTTTACAATTGTAATCTGCATTTCCTAAGCAAAAAGATTAACCTCCTTATACAGTAGAGTAGGGTTCATTGCTGTAGTAGCTGCCCTGACTGTCAATTAAAGACTTGCACTTGATGACTGGGAAGGTGGCTCAGTGGTAGAGCGCTTGCCTTGCATGCATGAGGCCCTGGGTTCGATTCCTCAGCACCACATAAGCAGAAAAAGCCAGAAGTGGTGCTGTGTCTCAAGTGGTAGAGCGCTAGCCTTGAGCTAAAGAGCTGAGGGACAGCGCCCAGGCCCAGAGTTCAGCCCCCCACAAGTGACAATGACGACAACAACAACAAAAAGACTTGCACTTGAACGCAGATACTGTTTTGTCAAGGCCCCTGGCCTTGCTTCCACTGCCCCACGAATTGGTGGCTCTTCCCTTGCTTACTTAGCCCCCAGTGCACTTCTTCAATCAGCTACCAAAGCCTCCCAAGTCAGACTAACATGCATTTATTTACTTCACCTGCTCACAAAACTGAAGGTGCTAACCATCACCAAAATGAGAACAGGAACTACCTGATGGGGGAGGCGAAGGAAAAACAGGAAGCACTTCGTATTTACTGAGAGGAGGTAGCAAAAGTCCGGCCTTTCTTTGTAGTGCAGAGGAGCTCGTCCATTCATCCCAGGGCATCCCCCATCATGTAATTCTTCTCAGTTCTCCTGTGCTCATTACTCTTCCTTGAAATATCTCAGGAGAGAATTTGTTTCGTTATATTTTTAAATTACCTTTAAGTACTTGTACTAAGGGGTTTGCATTCAACATGTTAATTTATGAGTACAATGAATATTGGTCTATGCTATTCCTTCCGTCATGCTTCTCCATCTCTGAATTCCACCCACCAGCTCAAGTTACCTGGTTCCATGAATATGACGACTGTGTTCTCCCGCCCTTCTCTTCATTTGTCTGCCTCCCTTCCCCTTGACCTTTTCTTCTGACACAACTTCTAGCATCCTGATATTTCGTTTGCTTATTTATTTAGTCAGTTGTGGAGCTTGAACTCAGGGTCTAGATGCTGTCCCTGAGCTTTTCTGTTCAAGGTTAGCACTCTACAACTTTGAGTCACAGTTCTGCTTCTGATTTTCTGGTGGTTAATTGAAGATAAGTGCCTCAGGGACTTTCCTACTGGGACTGGCTTCGAACCACAATCCTCAGATCTTGGCCTCCTGAATACTAGGATTACAGACATGAGCCACCAGTGCCTGACTCATTTATTTTCTTTATATTGTAGGTTAATTGTTCAAATGAATTACACCACTGGAATTCTCCATTGCATATACCATACTTTAGTTAATACATTAATGTATGTATGCATATGACCCTTATATGTTTACATCTCTATTTATAAATGACATCTAACTTCTCATATGAGAGATAAAACATTCACACTTTGTTTCTCTGGGCCTGTCTTACTTCACTTAACATAATTATTTCCAAGTCCATCCATTTCTCTCAAATGATGTAGTATCATTCTAAATGAGGCTGAGTAAAATTCCATTGTGTACATATATCACATTTTCTTTCTTTTTTTAGGGGGGTGTCCGGTCATGGGGCCAGAACTCTGGGCCTGGGCGCTGTCCCTCAGCTCTTCAGCTCAAGGCTAGTGCTCTACCTCTTGAGCCACAGCGTCACTTCCGGCTTTTTTCTTTTTTGCTTATGTGGGTGCTGAGGAATCGAACCCAGGGCCTCAGGCATGCAAGGCAAGCGCTCTACCACTGAGCCACGTTCCCAGCCCGATATATCACATTTTCTTGTTCCACTCATTCATTCAAGAGAGAAATTTTAATAATTATCTTCTTACTACTGAAAACTAGCTGCCCAGATACTAAGTCCAACAAGATCTGAAATGGATTCAGATGTCTTAGAACTGTGGATGAAGGTATGAGACATAAATTTCCATCCATTTACAACACACGTGGAATCTGAGAGGTAGAAGGTTAGGAATGTGAATGGGGTT